CTCCCGCCCCCTCCCCCCCCCTCCTCCTCACTACATATCTACAAACATCTAACCTCCCAAGTCCAAGTCCACGAATGCCTATAATCCATTCAAGCTATCCATCGGAGCAGTCAGAATAATACCTATCTACTGGCCTTCTAACTTCCACTTTCCGACTTGTTTCGCACCACTTACTGTACGTTGGAGTATTACCGAGTACCTATCAAGACATATACATAAACTGGATACGCAGAACCTACTATGAACGGTAGATGTACTGTATAGTATAGTAAATATGTAGTGACGAGGAGTTAAAGGATAGAAGGATAGAAGGATAGAAGGATAGAAGTACGCGAGATTTGTGCTAGCGCTAAGCGAGGGTTGCGGCATGCATTTTTGGGTTGTTTCTTTTTTTATAGTTTTGGAATGAAGGAGATGAGAGGTTTGGTAACAGAGGAGGTGAGAAGTTTGGTAACAGAGGAGGTGAGAGGTTTGGTAACAGAGGAGATGAGAGGTTTGGTAATAGAGGACGTAAGATGGATATGGTTGTGAGATGGGTTGTTTTTATGGTGGTGGTAAGTACTGTAAGTATCCTTACCTCACACTCTCCTATTTCAAGTCCTCCCAGTTAAATTCCCAATATTCGCGGGAACTCAGAACATCTCAAATCACCACAAAAGGATCACTAGAAGCATGCCACAAAGATCATAGAATTCAGCTCCTTATCACCAAACTAAGCCAGTAAGTCCGAGCATTCCAGCTCCCAAAAACACCTCCCACCAACCCCCCCAAAAAACCACCCATAAAATCTCAAGTTGTTTCTCAACCCCTCTCTCACTGAAGATTAACAAACAACCCCCCATCAACCAACAACTGCGCCCCATTAACGTACCCACTCAACTCCTCACACCCCAAAAACACCGCTGGACCAACCATATCCCCCGTCTCCCCCGTTCTCCCCAGCGGAATCCGCTTCTCCATGTACCTCCTCTTCTCCTCATCCTTGAGATCCTCCTCGTTGAGCTGCGTCTTGATGGTGCCGGGGAGCAGCGCATTGCATCGGATCTTATGCGGACCCAGGGCGACGGCGAGGGATTGCATCAGGGAGAGCACCCCGGCTTTGGTGGGCGTGTAGTGCGTTTGTAAACCGCCGCCGACGAGCGCGGAGATGGAGGAGATGGCGATGATGGAGCCGCCGCGGCCTTGCGAGGCCATTTGGCGGGCGGCGGCTTGGCAGGCGTAGAAGGCGCCGTCGAGGTTGATGCGGACAGTTTGGGAGAAGAGGTCGTGGTCTAGGCTGGGTGATGTTAGTTGTATTCCATATAAATCTTTGAGATGTTGTGGTATTGGGAACACCTCAAGTTACTGCAACAAGTAAACCAACCCCCCCTTCAAACCAACAACATAAAAGCCATCCCACTCCCCCAACAACCCCCAACAAACGAGAGAGAGAAAAAAATACTCACTCCAAAAACTCCGCAAACTGACAAACCCCCGCATTACTAACAAAAACATCCAACCCCCCAAACTCCCTCACGGCCCTCTCCACCAACGCCTTCCCCGTTTCCGGTTGACTGATATCCCCCTGGACCTCGATCAAGCGTCCCGCCTGTGGATCCCCCTCTTTGATCTTCGTCGCCTCCTCGAGCATCGAGTCCTTGTGGTGAGCATCCGAGGGGAGATTGAGATGGTTGATCGCGACGTTGCAACCGTGGCGGAGATAGCCTAGAGCGATGGCTCGGCCGATGCCTGTTGTGCCGCCGGTGATGGCGGCGGTTTTGTTGAGGAGGAGGTGGTTTGCCATATTTTTGGGGCTTTGGTGATTGGGATTTGTGATTGTGATTGGTATTGTTTTTGTAGTGCACGATTTTGAAGTTGGGATGGAGATGTGATGTTAATGGAAGTACCGAGTAGATAGATGGTGGGGTCAAGGAGGGGTTCTCAGAAGGAGGGGTTGCGTAGCACTGGCTGGTCACCGTCCACGACAGATGTTAAACAGAATAAACTTTGTATTCAAAAGGTGATTGTAACGGGCCACAAGTCAAGGAGGAGGGAAACATTCACCGAAGATGAGATGTTGCATGTTGCGTGAGTTGGTTTTGGGAGTTGGTTTTGATCATTTGGCTTCTTCGGCTCAATAACTAGGTAGTTGCTCGGGAAAGCTTCCTCCAGATCAATCCCTGTGCATTGCCCCACGATTCGGCTTCTGTGAATTACTACCGAGCAGGGAATAAGTTTACGTATGGTGCACGTGTCGTGACGAATTGATTGGAAATTGACTCGCGTATTCGGTGTATATAGTAGCTAGGTACCATCTTGCCCATATCTGGGTTCGCCAATTCCGCAGACTACTCCTCCCTAAAGGTAGAGGAAGGTTCGAAGATATAGACAAGTACAAGCTAAAATCTATGCATGTACATACCAAAGAAAAAAAAGCTACAGTTGATGCCGTACCATACAGTTGTCCAAGAATAGTAAATAGATAAAGTATTTCCTAGAGAAGAATCTACCGTGACCTATGGCCAGCCAATGATTGACCAAAATGATACGTTGCAGGTATTCTTCGACCGCTCGTGAAAAAGCCAACCGAGGCAGGTGTCCAGGTACACACCTGCCAAACCTACCCAAAAACTAGATCATGTCCTTGACACCTTGTACTATACCATTCACACCATCGGTCTTTGCTTCTTCCTCGACCTTCTTTTCTGGTAGTGGTCCGCGAAGAGGTCCTCCAAGTGGTCGTTCGGGATTTGGGGTCAAAAGGTATTGCGCTGGAATCAATTTAGCGGCAGGATTGAGAGTTAAGCCAAAACCTGGTTTGTCGAGTTCGGTGACATCGAGGTGGCCATTGATTGGAATTGGCTCATCCAAAAAGAGGTTTCCAAAAACGGGTAGCACACTTTTGCCATCAGGCGAATTGGCCAAATATTCCTGGAAGGGGCAATTGGTTTGTGAGACAACAAAATGGTAGCTGTATGGTCCACTGGCATGTGGGACAACTGGGATATCATAGGCGGCAGCCATAGCAGCGACCTTGAGAAGTTCAGTCATACCACCAAGCCACATAACGTCAGGTTGAATAATATCCAAGTTTCGTCCTTCAATCAACTTTCGGAAGCCGTATCGAGAATACTCATGCTCTCCAGTGGTGAATTTGAGCTGAGGGTGGGCTCGCTTGATTTGAGCAAAACCGTCCGTGTCGTCAGGAGAGAGGCATTCCTCCCACCAATTGATATTGAGATCCAAACAAGCCGTTGCAAGTTCAATGGTGTACGAGACGTTCAGACTCATGTAGCAGTCAACCATGATTGGGAAATCAGGGCCAACGCTCTCACGGTGTTTTCTCAGGAACTCGACATTCTTCTTGAGACCCTTATGACCTTCCTCTGGACAGTATGGCAATGGAACCTTGGCGCCCCAAAATCCCATTGACTTCGCAGCAGTTGGTTCTGGACCAGTGCAATAGAAATCTAAACGATTACGGGTAGCTCCTCCAATCATCTTATACACCGGTTCGTTTCGTATCTTTCCGAGAAGGTCCCAAATCGCAAGATCAATGACAGAAATGACAGCAATTGGAAGTCCTTTTCGTCCATAGAACATAGCTCCTCGATACATCTGCTCAAAAAGATGGTTTGTGTTTCGTGGGTCGGCGCCGATTAGGAAACGCTCGAAATGTTGATGAACAAGCCAACATGCTGGGGGACCTGCTGTTACTTAGCACATAGGTTCTTTCATCGTATCGAGAAATCATTACCTCCAAAACCAGTCGCAAAGCCAATGGTACCATCCGACCCCTCAATCTCCACACAGAAAGAGCCTAGAACATTGATTCCCCAAGTCGTTCTTGAGGCTCTATATTCTTCCCATCTTGACATGGGTGTCGAAATGGGGGTGTCAATCAGCCTGTCGTGCGGTCAGCGTTGTAATAGTTCCTTGCATATCATATTGTCTTACCAATGACCGCCGGCAACATTGTGGTAGTCTCCTCCAGATCCGACACCATCGACAACAAAGGTCCTAATGGCTTTGATCGAAGGAAAGTCCCGTACTGAAGGTGTAGCCATCTTTGTGAAGTGGTGCAGAAAGTGGTTGGAAGAAGAGGGGAGAGTCGAAGCAAAAAGAGGAACTTGTGGAAGTAGATGTGGCGGTAGGGCTAAGGAACTACGGCAATGTATTTGAGGGCGTTTTAAGGGCGGGCTTTAGATTGGCTGGTAGGCATGAATAACACTAATCGGCGGGTAGTGAATGGGATTCGAGGCTTGTTTGGTGGGGTGGTTGTTGGGTAGTTCGGGACCAGCTATCCCACGCGCCGAAGGGCGAAGTGGAAGTGGACTTTTACCGGCACTGTGAATTCTTTGATTCACTCGTATGAAGCTAGACCGTCTAGCGCTGGCCGAGTCATGGTATCTTTTGGGTACCTCGAAGGAGTACCTTAGGCGTGCTGCCTCCGGTACAGCTTAGTCGGGGGCACAGGGAAAGAGTGGGATGGAGAGGAGGATGAGGGAGGGAGGGGGGAGTGGTTGCAGGGTGGCTGCCGCTGTCATGGTGGATTGGCTGAATGTTTTGTCGTCCTGAAGTGGAGGCGGAAGTGGAGGGCTGGAGGAGGTGGATGCGGGCGGGGTGGATGGGATGGGATGGGATGGGATGGGATGGAATGTCCGAATGGGATAGTGACTGTCAGTACCGTACCGTAGCTCGAAGTATGTAAGAGTATGTGAGGGTGAGAGTAGAGTGTATGTACTCGTGGTACTACTGTAGCGTGGTAGATGTGAGAGTAGAGAAGAGAGAGAGAGAGAGGATTCTCAGGTTAGAGTTGGCTGAGGGGGTGAGGGTGAGGGTGAGGGTTGTTTTCCGGAGATGCTCTCAACCGACTGCTGTCCCACCGCACCGTCGTGGCCTCGGAAAAAAAGGAGAATACAAGGCAACTACTGTACTGTCGTCTGTAGCTACTGCACGAGACGAGTACGCAGAGGAACGTTGAGCAAAAACGGTCGGTTGAGGCGTTTTTGGCATCCACGACCACCAGAACAACGACGACTCGAACTTCAACCACTAGAACCTTACCATGGTAATCACCCACACAGTACTCAACATCATCAGAGAAATTGGAGACATCACTACTCTCTGGTATCTACCTCTACCCGGATCTCCACGGCCATCAGATTCTCAATAACTTCTTCGGGCTACAACCACGGCCACGGCCACAGCGTCATGTATGCCGGCACTCTTTGACGCGGTTGCACCGCAGACGCCCTCAACATTGCTCTTGCTCTATCCCAAGCCATGCGACTGTTCCCCGCGACTCGTACCCAGGGTTTGCAAGCCTTCCAAGCATCTGCAATGCTCTGCAAGACTGCAACGCTCTACTGGCAGCCTCGTAGACTCTACCAGAGAACGGATCCAGCATCCATCCAGCATCCATCCAGCATCCATCCAGCATCCATCCAGCATCCAGCATCCAGCATCCAGCATCCACCATCCACCATCCACCATCCAGCATCCAGCATCCAGCAGAGGGGTTGGCGGTTGGCAGTGTTGTCCATCACATGGCCTAGAAGATGTTGCCGGGACCTTACCTCACCCGCAAAGACCGTTGGATGCGTCCCGGATTACCGTGCCATTGGCTGCCGAGACATCTATTCCCAGCTTCTGCAAGAAATTGGTGGCGGATGATGCGACTCTCTCCCGACCAGTGATGAGGGTGTGGAGGACCATAGTGATTCCCTACTCGAGTACCTATGCTGACTCCGTACTTGTACCCTGTCTGTATGCCCACGCTTACTCGTACGCTATCTCTGTCCCAAGCAGAGAGGCTCCGAGGCAGAGGCAATGTGCACTGGAGTGGTCGGGAGCACTCTCGCTTCTGTACCAGGACCAAGTACTCCGTACCTGCTGTGTATTGCGATTGTGGTAATCGAGTACTGGTACTGATTATTGCACGTGTATGTACTTTACGGTACCTATAGAGTCCTAGTCGGTGCGTCCTTTCTGCGTTGTCGCTTGTATTATGATGATCAGTTATAGCGTATCTGGTGGTCACTGGTCAGGTCAAGTCAACTCCAGCCGAGGGAAGGTCATGCCGACTCGCCGAGCCTCTAGCTCTCCCCGCAAATTAGACCCCTGAGCCCCCAGCTGCTACCCCCCCTACCACCCGTGGACTCCCCTCACCACCCCCCTCCCCCTCGCTGCCCCCAAAAAGCTCCCCCGACTAATATTCCGTACCCCTCCAAACTGCAAGCAGCATCCTAACCCCCAACCCAATCTCCAACGTCGCTTCCACGCTTCCATGCTTCCCCAGGCTTCCCCACAAAACTTCCGCAACCTCGCCCTCGCTACTTGGTCACCGATGCGCTCGTTCTGAACTCGACCGAATCAACTAAAAATTCCACCATTTTGGTCTAGTCATCGCAGCGTTGCAGTTCCCACCATACAATCAATCACCCGTATCGCTCGCACTGGCTCAACCTGATGGATATCAAACTTTCCCCCCCTGCCTCCCATCCTTCTCGTCCACCTCAGAGCTCCCGATCACATATTCCACCCACGAATCAGCCGGATTCCGAAGAAGAAAACGCCTACACTGACGATGGCTTCGGCGACAGCGGTGGAGATAATGGCGAGAGGTCCCGCAAGAGACAGCGGAGACCAATGTCTGTCTCGTAAGAAAAAAAATGTCTCCTTCAACCACTAAAGAGAATCCAGAGACCTCGACGTTCCCCTTTACGCCTCCAAAGCGTGATGACGGCGTTGATTTGTCTCGGGACCTCCAAGAATCCCCAGAGCAAGAGCAAGATTGGCTAACTATTCGTCGAAGGTGCGAGACATGCAAAACAAGAAAGGTATGATCTCCTTTTGCTCTGTTCAATACATTCAATTCCTGATGACAAGCTTCTTGAACTGGATTTTCAATTCAAACTTCTCAGGTTGGGAAATTCCATATTCAGACTTCTCAGCTTGAGAGGTTTGAGTGAATTGCTTAATTAGTAAAGACGCAATTTCAGGGCCAAGAACTACTTGCCTGGGATTGAGCTTTTATGAGCAAATTTGTAATCGTCTTTTTAGGATGGAGTGAATTGCTCTCTTTCCTTGTTGACACAACGTTCGCGGAATTCTGACAATTTTGTAGGTGAAGTGTGACCGTGGTCAACCATCCTGTGGCTGGTGCACCAAAAATGGACAGTCATGCGAATACAAAGAACGCAAGAAACCAGGTCTGAGAGCTGGATACGGCCGAGAATTGGAGCAGAGACTAGATAAGCTCGAGGAAGTGCTTCGTTCTCACTCTCAGATTTTGGAAACCTTTCCACGCAGAAATGATAGTTTACCTAGCGACCATGGAACGCCACCTGTCCGACCTACCTTCAGACCTATTGAGGCTCCTCGAGGCCACGTACCACACGCAGAGACCGCGCTCTTCTTACAGAAGCCATCCTCGGTATTCTCTGGATCGCAGCCAACGGACTTTCCGAGTACTGTTGTTCAGACTCCTACAATGTCTACGCATCCTACGCTACCCCCACTTCATCGTGATATCTTTCAGCAAGGAATGCAGCAGACAATGCATCCACACAGCCATGCTCAACAGCCGCCTCATCCAATCCAGACTAGTCAATCACCAGAATTCTATAGCACCAGTCAAGCCCATGTCCAATCGCCAAGTCTCAATGTAACCGAACCCCAGAGCGAAGCTTCTTCAGAACAAGACTTGCCACCATATGATCTCCTCTATGCTTTAGTTGATCTGTACTTTAAGCATATCAATACATGGTGTCCAATATTGTACCGTCAGTCTACCCTAACTTCCTTGTTTGGATCACCGCTAGGGGAAGCCGAGAAAATTTTGTTACATGCAATTGTTGCTACTACAATCAGGTTTTCAACGGATGCAAGATTGACTGAAGAGAAACGTCGATATTATCACGATATCTCCAAGCAGAAAGTTTTGCTGTATGGATTGGAGAACTCCTCGGTCAAGGCACTGCAAGCTTTAGTAATATTAGCTCTGGACCTGGTTGGCAGCGGTAATGGACCGCCAGGCTGGAACCTTCTCGCTTTACTGACTCGATCCGTCGTTCAGCTCGGCCTTTCGGTGGAGCCAACCTCTTTTTCTATCTCATCAGCTTATCCTTCGATTTATACCCTTCGAGCGATGGTACTACCAGAAGCCAAGGATTTTATCGAAGAGGAGTCTCGAAGACGGTTATTTTGGATGGTGTACCTCCTGGATAGATATGCAACGATTGCAACTGCTTTTGGTTTTGCCCTCGACGAAAAGGAAATAGATCGCACCCTTCCCTGTCGGGACGAATCTTGGCATAGGAATGAAGCTGTTCAGACAAGATGGTTTCATACGAGCAAGCGCGAAACATACGATATAGACAAGCCGGAAAATCTTGGAACATTCGCCTATTACATTGAAATACTGGGAATCTTATCTAAAATCCATAAGTTTCTCAAGGCACCCGTCGATATTAGCTCTCTTTCAGATGTCGAGCAATGGCAAGGAAAATACCGGAAACTCGAAAGTATGATCATGGATTGGAAATTTCAACTTCCACCCGAATACAGCACCACTACAAAACTCTTTCAACCTGGCCAAAGTAAAACATCATTGTCCTGTGGCTGGGTTATGCTTCATGGTCAGTGGCCCTAATTTATATACCATGCAAAGTGTTTTCTAATCGATTGATAGCAACTTATCACACAACAGTAATACGACTACATTCATCCGCTGCCTATCCCACCAACAGATCGAACATTTTCGGCTCTTCTTATAGTGCAGGTCAACGTTGCCTTGAGGCAGTAGAGTCTATCAAAGTTCTTGTGGAGTATGTGTTGCAATGTGGTATGCTCACGAAACTTGGACCTCCTTTTGCTTTTACACTTTGGGTTGCCGCAAGATTGCTGTTCGTTCACGGCTCCACTTTCGAACATCAAGTCAACCCAAAAATACATATTTTTGTCGATACTCTTCGGGAGATGGGTCGCTATTGGGCTGTCGCTGAAAGATATACCACAATACTCCAGCGGGTTCTAGAGGAGCAAAGAGATTCTGAGCGATCCGCTGGCCCGGCTGGGGAGAGAGTTATTCCATCTTCTGTGAAGATTTTGGCTGACATGCGACGCTGTGCATATGATTTGGACTTTCTAATATCGAGACAACCAAGGCACGTTGGCTTGGTGTCACGCATGCCCAGCATTACCCCAGCTAGGACGCCGGCGCCAAATGAGCTTGAATACTTCGAAACCTTCGACTTTTTCAATTTTCCAAAGTTGCCAGTGGCTAACAATGGAAACTTGGGCAATGCAGCAACAATGGGTCAGATCGCCTCACACGAGGTTGGAAATGGAGTCAACGAGTTTAATATCACCAACTTCATGGTGGACGAAAGTTCAGATTGGCTATTCAAAAATCAGAGTTGATTTTACTAATTTGATAGGTACCAATGAGACAGTGAAGGGTGATACTCTATTTTGCATAAGGGATCGCATATTTTGGATGGTTGGTTGATAAAAATTGGATATAAATTTTGAACAGAAGTTGGGACTTGATACATCACGCAAAACTTTTGGGGGTCTACAATCGTGAGGCTAGGACGGAGCAAGCAGCATTTGCTCAGTTCTTTGCCACACTTCGGATGTTCCGTGGATCATACCGATGATGTACTGACATAAATCGAGGCCTCCAGTTCTGCGCAGCTGTATTCTCGCAGTGCACCCGTTGGATATGGCCTCGGTCAGGTCTCCTTTCAGTTAAGGAGCTGGCTCAACCAGCTGAGGACTCTTGAGCATACATGTATGAAGGTGTTCGCAAAACCTGCAGTCTTCCCAGTGATACCCTCAAAGGGTGATTCTATTCTTTCAACCACGCTTGCCAATTTTATAAATTCTTCTTTTCCGAGCAGTTTTATGTTCTTGTTGCTTCCGGAACGTCGAGAATCATTCTTGCTTCAGTATCCCTGATTCACTCGCGGCCTTCACTCAAACCACGAACTAGAAGCGATACAATACGAGACTTAAGAGCATGCCGGGCGAGTCTTGACGCAATTGCACCTCGTTCATTTTTAACAAAGGGCAATCAATTGTTGCTGCCTTTTCACCGCCTACACGGCGTGGCCGACATAGTCACCGATTTTCCATGGTCTTCACTCGACGCAGTAAGCAGACGGTTGGAAAGCCACCTGGAGGCGGAGTAAGATTTGCGGAGATATTGGGTCACGTTTTTGGCCCGGAACAACATCATTCAAATCAGCCGTGATTGGACGCCTTACGAGAAAAAGAAGAGGGGCCTTGTGTGCGGGGCTATGTTTCATCGCCTGATTGCGCAAGGCAGATTTGTTGATATCACCCCTTCCATTGATATGATGTCGCTGGCATTTTTCATCCCAAAGAGGACTATCATTAGCCTCAATTGGCAGATGCTGTCAAAAGAATGTTGGTTCAGGATTTTCTTTTGCCTGGCTAATCAGACCACGGCGTACGCGTTTGAGAGCCCGATGTATACGATGCCAATCGACTATTGTTTTTACCTGACAGAACCATCACAAAAGCCATTTCATCCTATCGACGAGACCAGACGAGACCGGACTTCCTATCCTCTTGATTTTTGGTTTTAGTATATAGGAATAAAAGACTTCCTCTTTGGGGGTTGAGGCTGAAAGGAAGATGCAGAATTTGTTTCCATGCCTGGTCCAGCTGAGGAAGGGAATGAATGGAGTCATAGTCCTTTGGTGACTTGCATATATGATGTTCATTTTTAAGGACCACGGAACAAAAATCCCACGTTCCCAGCCTTAGGCTTAGAAGGTGATTGGAGCAAATACGCGATAGGCTGCGGGGACCAGTAAGAATGCTGAACCGACTTCTAGGTATCATTGGAGGTACCAGGCGCAAACTTCCGATCATGGTGCTCTGCCGAGTTTGGTAAACTGATGGAAGCTAGATCGGATGAGATTGCGTAGAGTCGCATGCAGGGTAATCCGAGCTGGTGGAAGTTTGTGGGACTGGAATGGCCATTGACGCACAAATTATGGGTCCCTACTCATCTGTCTCCGTTGTTGGATTTAGACACCGAGACAAGACGGTCACGTTTTGGGAAGTTGCTGCAATATGCATCTTGGATCCGGCCCTCATACGTCGCCTTACGGTTATCCGTCCGGTACTTGGTGTTCTGGAGATGATGGTTCGTGCAACGGGTTCGCGCAAGCTTCCATAGATCCATACAAGGACACGCTCCATGATTTCACCCTAAGTTTTGGCAGACTACAGGATACCAGCGATCTGGATTCGCGGATAAGTGCTCCGTTGAGCAGGAGCTCGAGAAGCCATCCGTGAGCCATGAGTGGCTTCCCAATGCTGCTGTATGCAAGTGCAAGCTTCCGGATTCACGAGATGTCACTGTACTACAATCGGATGTCTACTCAGTTCTCTCCACCACAACGCTAATAAGTTTGTTTGTTTCGGGGGCATTACTATCCACTCAATGATACCGAGTAGTGTACCTTACTGACCATATTTCTACGAACTCGCAGGTTGGATTGCAGTTGCGGCCGCGGTAATGATGCTTACCCCTGCTCGCTTGTTGGCGAGTAGTCGGCGCAGCACTGCAGCCCCACCATTTTGACCCACCGGCCGCCTTCCACACATCGATTTCGCTTTCAATCGTGAACAGTCACCCACCGATCGTACTTCGTACCTGAATTACCATTACTACCCCCCACGACTACAACCCTCCATCTGATATTGGTACCTGCTGCCTCTATTCCTTGTCCAGACCATACCATCTCTCTCAGCCTCGTCGCCCAGTTCTGGTGTTGCTCCCCACCCTTTCTGTTTGAATGCTCCATATTGCGGATGCACAAAGCCTGCTCCGCCATACACCTAGCTCCATTCTTTGGCATCTCTTCCTCGGTCACTGACCCGAAAGAACCGACCGTTACAGATATCTAGCGCTAGCTCTCTCCCCGATATGGCGCTGTTGCTCATCACCAGGGGGGTCAAGGCTGATAACCTTTTCTTACCACATATCAGCTTTTCTCTCAACCCCAGGCAAGCCACCAAAAAGGACCACGAGTTTGGGTTCATACCTAGTCTGACGTCGAAGTCCCGGCGCAGGACCTCGGGCATCCACCTTTTTTCCTTCTCATGTTCTTTCCAACAATAACACACCCTAGTCAACTAACCCCTCCAGCCCTCTCTCCCCTGCTTTCTAATCCTGCATGTCTGCACATATCAACTACACTCGTTTTATTCTCCACTCAACGCTGCCTAATGTCTTCAAGAAAGCCTCTCTTGTTGAATTCTTAAAAGTATAAGGCAGTCACCTTTCCAACTTGCCAGATGACTCTTTGCATCACATTGCCTCGATCGTCAATTTCTTTTTTGGACTTTCTGTTCCCCAGGCTTCTCTTTCAGTCTTTCAGTTCGTTAACATATTTCATAGCTTTGCTGCCGTTCATCTCTTTGATAATTTCCCTTCCTCATCAAGTACTCCATCATCAGCTCTTTATCCCACATCTCAATCGTCACATATCAAAGCAACATTCCAGTCCACACAAACAAACATCATCTCTAACAAACTTCATCAAGATGTGCTACCTTGTTGTTGAAAAGTACTCGGTTTGCCGTTGCATTTATTACCAGCACAACATCGATATGTGTGCTGCATATGGTACATCGGGGCATCCGATTCAGGAAAGGACAGTACTAGTTGGTTATGCTTGTGAAAGGCACTCCAATTCACAACAAGAGGCATCATCATCATCTGGTGGATATTCGGATTCGGGATATGGAACTGCAAGCCATGGGTCACATGGACACTCCTCTCGACGACACCGCCGGTGAAACATATTGCCTTCGTTTACTGGATACTTTTGGCATTCGCGACCGCTAGCCTTTTTCGAGTTTAGCAATTGGGTTATATTCCTATTCTCCTTTCAAGGGAGGACCACTTCCACTACACCTTCTCAGCTTACTATGCTGTTTGTCAGTCACGATCGATTGGTGGCTCGCTCTGCACCGCCATGAATCTTAGCCGTCTCTCGGCCGGTGGCTGAGAAAAACCCCTCTCCAAACAGAAAGAACAACAATATTTCACAATATATACCGATGACGATGCGAAATGCCATGATTCCTAAAGATTTATCGAGGGCGCAAAATAAGGGAAAACACGAGGCTCACGCCGTACAGACACTCCATCAAAGGACGCAACAACAATTTCGACAAAAGACACTGTGAAAACTTTTAGCATTGCATAGCGGGTTCCTGTTCGAGGCATAGCGTTGTTTATTTGGGTTATATGGTATTTTTGCTTGTTCTTCTTCTTGCGCCTCTCGCTGGTTGACTCTTACTCTCGCGTTTCTTTTTTCTCCTTTTCTTTCCCCCCTCACTTTCTGGCTGGATACATGGGGTCAGATTTGGATCTTTGCATGGGACGGATATGATACCTTGGAGTATTTTGGGACATTTTGGGTATCGGGGCTTTGCATCTGTCTTTTTTTCCCCTTTAAATTTCTTCCGAGGGGGTTTCTGATGCGATCTGTGATTCATCGGTTCCTCCGCAATTTTCCTTGTTGTCATGGTCATCGAAATTATAGGAGCTAGTCTCCCGCTCAGGTAGCATATTGTTTTGTTTTATCACTCTCGGCTTTTCGAGATTGAGAGAGGGGATTGCGTTGCACGCAAGACAGACGAAAGGACTGGAAAAACAGGCTGTGCCTGTATTGGAAAGTTGAGAGAACTAGCATATTGTTTCAAGTTATTTTTCCCCCCGTTCGTTCTCTACACGTTCATTTATTCTCGTTCATTGATCACGAGATCTGTACTCTTCATCCCGTGCTGTATTGTGTTACGTTCGTTATACTAGAAGCTACGAAGGATTCCGTCTCTTGTTCGAGACGAGATCTGTGGTGATTCATAGCTTCCTTAGCGAATGGCGCAAGCGACATCCATCTCAATATTGAGCTCAGGCAGCTTGATGTGGTCAGTCATACGCGCAGAGGGGGTTCTGGACGCGTTTGTGGATGTGATTGGTTAGTCCAGTACTATTTGTACATTACACACCGAAAGGAGGATCGCACATTTTAGGCCGGAGTTTGCTGGTTGCTGTGGGGTGGTGGTGGGGGTGGGGGTGG